TGTAATGTTAATGAAAACACATTAAATTAAGTATGCCCCGTATGCAAAACAAATAATGTAACGAGGATTTTTTAATCGTTGTTGCATGATGATTCTTTCTCTTCTAATGTCATTCTCAACTTTTTCCGTATTTCGTTTTGCTTTTGTATTTGAAATTTTTAAAACTTAATATAAATTACAGTAGAATCACTCATATCTGAAATCCCTCATATCCGGAATAATCCGCAGTGCCTCTTATCCGGAATCCTGCATATCCGGACATGATTTTGATGTATATATTTAAAATAATCGGGTGATATGTAACTGATTTGAAGTTTGTGTTTTTCAGAAAATTTACTTTAGATAATTGTTTATGCTTATTTCAACCTAATGGCTTGTATTGGTGCAAAAGATGATGGGAATAAGAGGAAAAGAACAACTTTGGAGTTATCGCAAAAAGTGGAAATTTGAGTGCTTAGCCTTGGAGCAGGTAGAATGGAGATCAACGTGTTTTAGTGGACTCGGTAATTTTCAATCTTCTTGTCTGAATCATCTTCAAGAAGCGAGAGCAAGATCTAAAAGGTCAGCCAATCTAACAGTGATCTCATCACACAATCCTCATACTTGCTCCATATGTGGCCTCCTTTGTAAATCAATAGTGGGTCTTAAATGCCACTTAAGATTATCGCACAAAATTTCATAACTGAATCAATAAACTGTCAGATCCTCATACGTAGAAACCAACGGGAGAGTCCATTATATATATATATATATATATATATATATATATATATATATATATATATATAATATAAATATATATAAGAAAGTAAGTGTTTTTTTATGTGTTCCGCACGGATAAAAATATAGAAAAACGAAACTGAAAATGCAATTGGAGTCGTTATGATGTCTTTATGGAGACATGTGGTTATGCCATTATAAGTCACGCATATATATGGAGTTGGAGAATTCTTTCCGTTTTATGCAAAAAGAGCTTAGTTTGTTTAAAATGCAATTTGATTGGCTGATTATGATCACGTGATAGACATTGTAGTTTAGAAGTGTCATAGTTCAGTGAGAGTGGCTAATGACTAGAAATTGCTCTGGAATTCATGTAGCCTTTCCATCTTAATTTAAGCTTTGAGAATCAGAGAACTATGGAAACGACTAAGTTACTCTAAATAAATATATAGACTCCAGTCCTGTTGCCTTTTCAACTTCTATTTCCTATATATATATATATATATATATATATATATATATATAGATAGAGAGAGAGAGAGAGGGTCGTTTGGGGATCTTGCGGCATACTGTGCATTAATTCTCGGTAGCCGGCTCTTCCAAAAAGTGTGGTTGGTTCTGCTATAATCAAATGATATTTGCAGCTAGTCTGGCTGTCGGTTCTAAGAACTGTACTGCTTGACACTCATCCGTCGAAAACAACAGAAAAGTCCAGTCCATATATATATATATATATATATATATATATATATATATATATATATATATACTGGACTCTATACTATTGAGGATATAGACGAAGTTAAAGTCTACATTGGATGCACAAGACACGAGTTCAAAAAGCGTTTTAACCAACATCAAAGCTCTTTTAAAATAAGTAAATGCCGGAATCAAACGTCCCTATCTAAATACTTCTACCACTTAATGGAAAGCATTAAAACACATACTGTAAAAAAGAGATTACTAAGAAAGTCTAGTTAGTATTTGTAGGTCATTATATGACCCGTGTCCTTTGTGCATACATGAGAAATTATATATTGTTAAGTTTATGAAAAGTAAAAATTTGTTTAACCAAAGAAGTAGCTATTTTTTGCAGACACTGTCAAATGTTTTCCTTACATAATAATTAAATATGATAAAAAAGAGGAAAAATGAAATATAAATATTAAACTTGACCTTTGAATAATAATTTTTAAATAAGAAAGTAATTCTAATATATTTATTTGTTTAATTTAATTTATTTGTTTTATTTGTATAGTCTATTAAATATTAAAGATAATACTTTAGAATTGAGGGAATAGATTTTAAATATTAAAAATACGACGTACTCATATTCAAACGAAACTTTTGAGAAAATCTTTGTGTATAAAATTACAAATTAATCAGCAAAATAAAGATGCCAAAAATACTGTATATCAATAAAAAACTCAAACGCCATGCGAAAAACAGTAGTCATCATTTGTTGAACAGGCACCCCTACCCTACCTTAACCTGATTTTGAAAGTAGCTTAGGTTTGATACAGAGGTTGCTAATGGAAACGAATACCCTACCACCCCTTATTAATAATGATTTAAATTTCCCCGTAACATTGACAACTAATAATATCAAGATTGTTTGTGCTTATAAACCCGGTAAATTTCAAAATACGTTATTCCTGAAATCGCTTGAAAATGAATCAGAGATAAAGATTTTAAATTTAATTCTATAATTAAATTTAAAGTTTAGTTTCCGTTTTTGAAATATGGTAATTCCTGTGTAGCGAAGGAACCATATTTTTTAAATTAGTAAATTTATAATATATATATATATATATATATATATATATATATATATACTCCATCACAACCACATTAGGTCGCTTACCCCTCTATATCTATATAACTCCCTCCTCTATTAGAGGCCAATTCTTACTCCCTCTCCTTTTATACTTTCCTTTTTCTTTTTTCCCCTTCTTTCCTACCTTTGCCTTTCAATTTCCTGTGAAGAAACGTGGGATTTTATTCATTTTAGTAAATGTATTTACATTGATAAATCTATGGAAAAACTATTTTCTCATGGACGAAATGATCACCTGTATGAGGTAAATTGTTTGGATTTCATTAATTGTAATTTACTTATATGCTTTATGATAAAAATTATATTGAGCTCTCTTTTGTGGATCAGTTTTTTAATATTTTATATGAATAGGATTCACTTGGATTATTTATCCACGGATCTTTTTTTTACTTGCAACAACGATGGTGATGATGAATTATTATCAGTATGCTGGAAAGAAAATAAAATTACAAATATCCAGGAATAATAGAAGTGGAGTCAATCAAGCAGATTAACACGACGGAAAAAACGGGAAAAATTGTAGAGATTTGCGGAAGTTGAATCAACAGTTGAAACAATAAAATGAATAAAAACATTGACGAAAAATAAAAATTCAACATTCAAGAATAAACGAACTGAAGAAGATGTCAAGAAACTATATATATATATATATATATATATATATATATATTACGATAAACGTGCAATCAATTTACAAATACATGAATTATTCACACAAAAAACTAATGCAAGGTTAATGATTTAAATGGCGAGACATCCATCATCGCAAACAATTCAAATAATATACAAAAACCTCCGAATCCGTTATGAATGAAATGACCCTTGTTTATAAATAAATTTCTGCCGTATATAGTTCTTATTTTTTACTACAAGATTTTTTGTATATTATTTGAATTGTTTGCGAGACATGTCCAGCCATTTAAATCAATAGATTAGTTTTTCTTGAAAAAAAATATATATATATATATATATATATATATATATATATGAATCGGCATATACACAAGTTCTAAAATAAGGAATATATTACAATACTTAGATTTAATAGTAATATACTGTATGTAGTTCTACAGAGCGATACTGATAATGTCATGGATTGAACACGTGAGCAACGTCGGTGATTTAGAGTGAATGTAAACAGAAATAATACTTATACGTAGCGTCAGAAATAAACAGTTGAAATTTTTAAGGCACATATTGAGGAAAGGGGGCTTGGAAAATTTGACACTCACAAGAGGCAAGAAAGACAGAAGATGGCAGCGCATAAACTACCTAACGAAATTGTGTAGATTGTTGAAAGATATAGCAAAAAGAAACACTTTACTAAGGGCCACAAAGGACTAGAAACTGTGGAGAGACGTGATCATTAACGTTGTCAAAAAAGAAGAACTGAACGAGTCGTGAATTCATGATGCGTTATATATGATCAATAGAGGCAAATTTGTTGAATGTGTCGGCCAGGGAAGTTGTCGAATAGTAAAGGCATCTTGGTGACGGAATCCTGGTGACGGAAATCCTCCTGCTATCGTTACAGGGCTGGCAATAGAACGGATTCAACGAGCTTCTGACCAGGCATTGTGCTGCTCAACGAATTCCACAAATCCCCAAATAAACCGAGAATTTTAACCCCATAACAAGATTGATTGCGCTTATGTGGTGAGTTCAGTATATGCAATAGGTTGGAGGAGGGGAAGAGATGGATTTATACCTTTCTCATGTAAATGAATTCGGTTGAAATTTGAACTTGGCTCTCCGATTTCTCATTCTGTTACGTCATCAAACACATCCGTTTTATGTTCATGGTTCACATTGGGAAGAGGTGACTTCCATAGGTCCAGCATAATTCTTCGGCCATTACGAGGAAAAATGTTAGCAAACCGCATTTCACCCGCCCTCGTCACGAATTTGATGTTCACTTGAAGTGGTGATATAACAGAGAGAGGTTGACGCACATGAATGCACACACGCAAATATAACGTTTATTGATTGAAGATGGAAAACACGATCTTCCGTGAAAGTTACAAAATGTGTCAGCGCTATTAATAGGAAAGAATCTAGAACAATGATATATGAAACCTGAGACGGCTGATGGATAAAGAATAAATTTCAAATCGGGTTGGCGAGGACTTGTTTATAAACAAATGCAAAAGGGCAGGAGGCGATGTTTAATTTGGGTCATGAAAAAAAAAAAAGACAAAAATAATATTTTTGATAAAAACATATTGAAGTAAATTGGACCGGGGAGGTAAGATCAGTGTATGTTTACCGCTAGCGAAATCTGATCTAAACATAAGTTGTATCCGCTGAATTTGGTCATCGAAAAGACAATTGAAATGAACATTGAATTAATTTTATCCACTAAGAGATTTGAAATAGATCTGAATTTAAACTTTGCTTATGGCGACACTCGTGTTAAGCGCGTGAACAACCTGGCTTATACAAACTAGAGTTTTGCTGAGTTGGTAGAGACTTGGGCGTTAGACGAGAGTGGCGTTGAGAGAGAGAGAGAGAGAGAGAGAGAGACTGTCGTTGCAGTGAATCGGTCCAGTGGCGAGTCAGAGATAAGGACTTCAAGAAATATCATCGTCGTTGTAGCTGTCGCATTGAAAATCGATGAAACTTAACGTTTGTCACTTACGACAATCAACTGAAAAGCTAAACTTCCACGTAGGGCTGGAATTGCGACTCATATATCCTCCCAAGTTGATTTGAAACGAGTTAATCACACACACGCCTCTTTCTGTTTGTATAATTGGTAGAGGAGTGGTCCTCTGTTCTTATGTTAATTGCTTTTCTATCCTTTCTGTAAACTCTTTCTACTGTTGTTGTTTTCTTATATAAAAGACGTCAATATTTTACCCATGGTTGTTCGGCTTCTGCAGATATTATTTCCTTGTTTGCCACATTCTTATTTTCCTGCCGCCCACCCTCACAGCCGTTTTCACATCCCCAATCGACCGTGAACGTATGGACAACACCCAGCTTACTGGATCTAAAAACTAACACAACGTGGGCAGCAGGCGGACCTTGGCCAGTGACCGGTGGAACAATCTACGGGTACTCAGAGAGCGTGCGGCCAGCTACCCCTGAGTTCGGTTCAGACCGAGTTGGCGCCTCAACCTAAAGAGGAAGACGCCGGAGGTTGAGGGGCTGAAGGGACGAGTGGTAGATTTGTTGTCATTAACCAGGATTGACCTTGAGTTACCACGGAAAATAAGGCAAGGAACAACTTTGAAGAAAAGCATGCCTTAAGTTATACTCAGGAAGAAAGGAAGTAAACACCAGCAAAACAGAATTTGTTTGTTGCATCTAGTTGGGACCGACTAAGACCAGAAAGAACTCTAGTCTGCGGACGATATTAGTAAAAAAAAAAAGGACATAAAACGGAAACAAAACACGGAGCAGCGGACCTCAGGTAAGTCACTTTTGGTTTCCTCTACTCACTCATTACACTTAGATCCGCCAGTAATATTGTTGATTTTTGTCGACTCTGTACGCAGTTGAAGAGCCACCGCTGTGTTAAGTAGTTTCCTTGTTTGTTGTTAATCTCTCTTCTCGTGGGAAAGTGTTAGGATGAGTGCAGCAGGATCAGACGCCACAACCGACCTTGGGGACGAGGGGGGCCCCGAAATAACGATAGGTTTCAGAAGGCTGATAGGTAGTATAAAGCTACCCACTTATAAAGGTAACCCTGCAGATCTGCATGAATGGATTCTCTCCATCCAAAAGAAGCAGGTGATTTATGGCTTATCAGATCAGGAGATGGTGCTCTTGGCTTACGACGCCGCAGCGGGGCAGGTGTCTAAGTTTATAGGGGCACGGTACAAAGAAAACCGAGCCGCGACATGGACAGAGCTTAAATCTGCTCTGGTACGGCAGTACGCAAGTGAGCGTACAGCCATTGAGGCAGTCAGGAAACTATTCCGGCTACAGCAACAAGAAGGAGAGATAAATGAAGAATTGAGAGAAAGGATCGCAGGGCTAGCAGCATTAGGCTTTCCGGAGTTGGCGACTCGGAACAGCGGCCCTATTCAAGCCTTGTTAGCCGATATATATTTAGATGCACTAAGCGGCTGGGACTTGAGAGGCGATGTTCTGAAGGGAAAACCGGTCACCCTGTCCGCAGCCATAGAAGCGGCTCGGGCCAGCGAGCGACTCTGGGATAGGATAAAAAGCGGTATAAGAAAGGAGCCACCGGGGGGGCAAAATTATAAAAAAGAAGGATCGGGAGCGGGTCCGGATAAGGGAACCAAAGGAGGAGGTAGAAGAGGACTGGGAGGCGGAGGCTGACCCCAATAGGAAGGCCTGGGATTTGCATTATGGGTTTTTTTAACCCCACACCGGTCCGATATGGGCTGGTGTATTGGACTTGCAAATACAGTGGGCATCGAGCCCGCGACTGTCCGACAAACTATGGAGGCGACCCGAGATCTCTGGGGCCGAACTGTACATAAGGCTCAATGGTGTACGATGGAACGGGACCACAAACTAGGGATAAAGCGAGTTAATACGCTTGTGCCTCCTCCCAAAAAGGAAAGGGGTCCGGGAAACGTCAATGGGTCACCTGTGAAAAAGTAAGAGGCAGGGTGGCCCCAGTGCGAGTAAGACCTCTGAGATGCTGGACGTGTGGCATGGTCGGACACTTTTCGGCAAGTTGTAATGAGCGAAGGTTTTGGCGCTGTGGAGGAGCGGGTCACCTGAGACGAACCTGCCCTCGCAGGAGAAAGATGGACCACACCGAACAAAACAACCCTTGAATAGACGGGAGGAATGGATTGCTAGTCCGAAAAAAGAGAGTCATCCGAGCTCTACCCCACCCAGGAGGGCCCCTAGACAGAAATGGGAGCCACTAGAAAAAGTTGAACTCCTGTCACCGATTCCCATGTCTCGGTTGACGAGAAGACAAGGGAAAAGTGGAGAACATACGGGAAGGAGAAAGGCACAGGTATACCGTTTGCTGAAGGAAGGGCCAGATTTCACCTGTGATGTGTTGTTGGGAAACAAGAAGGTTGATACGGGAGCTTCAGTGTCGCTGGTTAGCTCCAGGGTTTTAGGCAGTTGGGACTGAAGACAAAGCTTAGTCCTGTCGATCTACTAATAAGTCAGGCTGATAGTAGCAGAATGAGAATAGAGGGGATGACGTGGCTACATTTCCAGTTGGCAAGAATCAGAGGTAAGCTTAAGGCTTATGTGGCACCAGATTTGTGTGGTGAACTAATTTTGGGGGACGACTGGCTTAAGCAGAATAAGGCACAGATCAGTTTTGACTCCGCCACCCTAACAGTAGATGGAGTAGAGATACCGTTGGGAGAGGATAATTATGAACAATTGTCAGTGGTGGCCCAAACAGCTATAAAGCTCCCCCGCTAGGACCACTGTATCTGCGAAAGGCCAAATTGTAACAGAGGGAGTTATGAACAACGACCTGTATCAAGTGATCCTTACTGGTAGCGAAGGAGAGATAACTGTATGCGATTCGCTAGTGAAGGGGTCAAGGACCGTTCCCTTACTGTTAACCAATACTGCCATTAAAACTATTAAAATAAAGCAGGAAGAGGAGCTGACACAGGGGTTCCCAGTGAGAGATGTCGAACAAGTGAGAGTATGGAATAAGAATAGGCCTGGAGAGAAGATAGATAGCGAGGAAATAAAGGAAGAGGATATAATAACCCCCTGAACATTATAGGAGAACATTGAGCGGGTTGCTGAACAGTAATCGAGAAGTAATAGCCATTACTGACAAAGAATTGGGACTTATTCGTAACCCAAGCATTGGCGGCCCTGAGGTTCTCCATAAACGAGACGACAAAATTTTCCCCCTATTACCTAGTATATAGCTGGGATGTAGTCTTATCTATAGACAATCTATTGCAACCTAGGAGGAAGTATTTAGGCGAGAATCATCATCGAATAGTTCTAGAACAACAGCACAAAATGTATACGCAGGTGAGGAGAAGGATTCGGAGATCCCAGAAGAGGCGAAACGATAGGATAAACAAAGGCAGAGGAGAAGTCTCCTTTCAGGTCGGGGATCCAGTATATTATAGAATGCATGTGAGAGAAGGTAAATTGGGCCAGAGATGGAGCCCATATTATAGAATAGTAGAGCAGACGGGTCCGGTTTCCTTTGTGATATTCGACCAAGTGACCGGGAAAGTAAAGAGAGTGCATGCGAATGATATAAAACTAGCGGAAGTAGGGGAATGGGAAGGAGCCGAAACAATAAACAGAAAAGCTTGAGGAGTACTACGTTAGTAGAACCCGAAGGACCTGGAGACGGAGAGTGAAAGCGAAGGGAGTGAAGAGATTGAAATTAGCCCAACTACCCTTCGAAGGCTGAGAGAGGTAAAGCGGACCCCAGCGGGACCTTCTGAGGAGGCAGTAATTGAACCTAACCTTAGGGAAGAAGAGGAACTGAGTGAATGGGAAGAAGAGGATGAAATTCCGTTAGCACAATTGAAGAGTGAATTGCGGGCTGGAGAAGCGCCTAGGGTTAATGGGGAATTACCTCCGCCTAACGCCCATGCTTACCATTCAGCCAATGGGCGCTCAGCGGCGTGGGTGTGGCCAGACTAGCCTCGGTTTAAAAAATCTTGCTCAAAGAAAAAAAAAATTTATTAATATTTTTTTTCCTTTTCCTTTTCTTTCTTCTCTTCGAGGAGACCCCACACCCTAGACTCTTCATTTTTAACCGAATTACCTGGAATTCGTCAATTAGCTTTTCGCCATCACCAAGCGGGTGGCCACCCAGACGTACCTGCACTCCTGGCGCCAACCACTGATCCGATAAAACAGTCCCGCCACCACAGCCGAATTTCATATGGAATTCGTCAACGAGATTTTCGCCAATTATCAGGTGGGTGGTCATCTGGCGGAACACAGCCAACTTTTCGTCCCGATAAAATAAATTTCTTATCATATCTAGTCCCGACAATAAACAGATGCTTTTTCCAAACGACATTCTACATATAGACAAAGGCTTAACCTTTCCTTCATGGTGGTCAGCGGACACTTTTGTTTTTTTTTTAATTCTGCGGTTGATCCAATCGGACATTTTTCTGCGACCCAATTAATTTTTATCTATTTAGAATTCTGTCTTGCAGGTCATCCGACCAACCTGGAACCTCCACCATTGCCATGGGCAGATTGGCCATATCTCATTCTCCGCCCCGTAACATAAATCAGATTAATCCAGTATCTTCCTTTCTCGACAATGTAAAATAAAAATCTTACCACTTTTCTTTGTCAGAAAAATAACACCGCTTAGTGTCCTTTTCGTGATGGCTTCTTATCACCTAAATTTAATTCTCGCCTTTTTTCTTCTTCTTTCTTTTTTTAGCAAGCCAAATAGTGTCACAATAGAATTAACTGTGTATTTTTACTATTCTATCCCGATTATCTCAAATATATTAACGCATAATAGATTCGCCGTCTGCTTTTCGATAGTCAGCCATCAGCACTTTATAATCTTTCGTTTATGTATAATGTTATCTGATGCCTTTGGTTTCTCTTCTACTGTTAAATAATAGTTTAGCAAACTATTATTTTCTTTAGAGGAAGGGTATCGCTGCTCCGACTTCCTGGGGTTGACCTTTGAGGTCAGATGGAAGAAAAAACAAAGAAGTCGATTTTGATTGGATGAGCCAGCGTGAGAACGATAGATAGATAAAGGAGTCTCAACCGTCAAACAATGTAGACGTGGTTACTTTCGTATCTAAAATGGCTTCCTAGAGGAAGGATGACAAACCCACTGGATAACTAGAAATGTATACGCCGACGGTAATAAAATAGTTAATTCATTATTAAAAACAACTGATCTTTATTATTAAACCGTCGCCCCAAGTCATCAACACTTGTCATAAAACCTTTGGTAAATCTTTATTATTAAAGTTGATTTTAACTTTAAATTATTACAGTGATCTTTAGTATTAAATCTTTTTTTGTTATTATTAAAGTCATCTTTATTAAAAAAAAAGAGCAAAAAAAATTACAGTGATCTTTCTCTGCTCTTTTCTTAATTATTTTTTATTAAAAGTGATCTTTATTATTACAGTGATCTTTAGTATTAAATCTTTATTATTAAAGTGATCTTTATTATTACAGTGATTTATATTATTAAATCTTCATTATTAAAGTGATCTTTATTATTAAGGTGATCTTTAGTATTAAATCTTTATTATTACAGTGATCTTTATTATTAAGGTGATATTAAATTTTTATTATTAAAGTGATCTTTATTATTAATGATCTTTATTATTAAATTTTTATTATTAAATTGATCGTTATTATTACAGTGATCTACATTATTAAATCTTTATTATTAAAGTGATCTTGATTATTAAAGTGATATTAAATCTTTATTATTACAGAAACTCCAAAACGTCAAAGCATGGAGTTCCTAATTAGTGATGCTAACGTTGAATCGAATAATCGTCTGAATTCGATGTCGCATTGAATGGAACAAGGTACAGATTTTCTTTTTGGAAATTTTCCTCCATTTTTCTTGGCAGTAATTCCAGAGCTGCTGAGGATTGCCCGGTTTTCGTTGGAGTAGTTATTTCTTCAGCACCCGCCACATTTGTTCAATTATATTGAGATCAGGACATTGTATTGATTAGTTTTCCAAAAATTGAACATCTCCGCCCTCAAGAAACATAATTATTGTATGTTATGTGCGGCAACCAACACCATCATGCCGAAAGAATTCTCCATCGTCGAAGTTTTAGACCTAGGTAAACAAATATAGTTTTCGCTGTTTAAAATAAGAATGAAATTGATAAATAGAATTTTTCGAATAAAATTGATAACAATTGATGGAAATCTTTCCATGAACTTTTATTAATTTTATTCTACATTGGCGTTTGATGCAACTTAAACTATTAAATTTTACAGTCTTTTTCGTGTATTTTGTATTGTTTCTTTCTTCCACTAGGATTCTTATATATTTTCTTGCACTAGGATATAACATTATTTTACCTCCATCATTAGAAACTATTTTTGTCACTTCCCAGCATCCCATGTTAGATGTTCTTTTTGTTCAATCTTCGATTCCGATGTTGTTTGGTTAATGATGTTTTTTTCTGCTATACGCCAGTTTAAGTTGTTTTTCATAATATTCCGCATACTGTATCAATTAGATTCTCACTGTTAAAACTGAATTTAATCCTCACTTGCTTGGCTGTTAATTATAGATTGCATACCCGATAACATCGCAAACTTTCTTTCATCTCTAACTTTTATAGCCTTCGGATTTTCTTTGCATTTAAAGAGCCTCTAGCAGTAGTAAACGTCTTTTAAATAGTTTGAACACTGTTTCTACAAATTCCTGTTCGCCTGTCTTTCTGTTTGTCTGTCTGTCCCTCGTTGACACATCTTCCGTTAGAACCTTCATCTTTGTTTCAGTAGAAATTTTAGTCAGGATTTTATTGTAAAAAAAAAAGAAAAGAAAAGAAAAAGCAAACTGATATTCAATTGCAACGACTTGCCAAGGGGGCCTATAAGATGGAATATTTCCTATTTAGAAATTAGCATATTATCATGAATTTATAATCTCGGATCTTTCATCGACCAAATTGTTTTGTATTGTTTGTTTTCAGCTTCAAGCTGCTTAGAGCGCTGTATTTTGTTACAGGGTTCCTACGAAAATGCAAAAACCTATTTGACAATCCTCAAATTTCACAGACACTATTGATAAAAAAAAACGCTAAACAAAATAACTTCTGAATAAAATAAAACTGGATGATAATTTTATGTATCCCCCCCCCACCAAACATTTGCACGTCAGTTTGCTACAAGCTTTTTCTTGTTTTCAAGCAGTCGTCTACTTTCCATAGAATAGGATATTTCCCGCTCGATTTGTACGAGTAGAATTTTCTTTAAATTTTTTTGCAATGACTTGTAGTATTTTTCGATGTGGCTTGTTTTGCCTCTAGTCCCTCGTTTTGAGATTTTTTTTATTTCTTCAGGCAATTTCCACGCTTCTTGACAAGTACTGGAAATTTTTTAAAATGAATTTCGGCAATTTTGTCACCTCCGAAATTCAGTTTTGCTTGTTGCGAAGCAGATGCATTTCCTTAGATGTTTTTCTTTTTCTTTTCTATTTTCTATTTTATTTTTGGTTTTTATCTTTCCATCTTTTTTCTTAATAACTGAATTGCTTTGTCGAGCAAATGTTTACATCGGCATATTGCATTTCATATTTGTTTTATGATCTATGCAGAGTTTTTCTTCATTATTTACATTGAACCACGACAGCGGCACAAGTAAGAAAACATAAATAGATTTATCAGGACTATCATTGAATTTAGTTAATTTCATTTGTGCACGTCTGAACATATTTAGTATGACCGACAGCTACATACGCTCATTTTGAATAGCAGAAAATGACAATAATTTGTATCGTTACTTTGCCGACATCATGAACTCCCAAAGTTAACAACATTCAGTGTAATGATCTACATTTAGTGATGAGTTTGTTGATGTATATATATATATATATATATATATATATATATATATATATATATATATAATATTAGTTGTAAATATACACATACATATGCAAGATATATGAATATATATACATAGGTGCATACACATACATGCATATTTTTTGAATAAAAAATTCCAAGGGGATAGAATCCAGGTACAACTCAAACACTAATATTCCATGGTCATAATTTATTCCATTGGAATCGTAAATACGATCCAATTCATCAGACCTACAAATTCAAAAAGAAAACAGAAAAAAACAACTCCGGAAATAAAAATAGAATTTAGAAAGAGTGTGAGTATGAGAGTGTGAGACGAATGTTAGAGCTAAAGAGAGGGGTAACAGAAGAGAGAAGGTGGGAGATTAAACCTTAACAGAGAGAAGTTTTAGAGAGTTGAGTTGAAGAGGTTTAAGCGAGAGAAATATGAATGTTGTCGGATGTCTAATACATTAAAGATGTAACCGTAAAGGATACATTTCGTGGTGACATACACACACCATAGACGATCTAATCTTAAAGATCAGAAGAGGGAGGGAGAGGAAAAGAAAAGAAAAAAGCGAGGACGATTGAATAGATTGATAGAACTACAGAACAATCCAACAATCTAGAAAGCAAGAATTAGCAAAGTATCTATTTTAGAGACTGGGACGAATAGGGTTCAGTTCAGGGCCCCATTTCTTAATGTACGGATACCATTAAGCCGACATGCTTTGTGGCGATCAAGTTTAGAGATGGTAGCAGAAATCATGAAATGAGATATATGTATATCCCACATTAGAAACTCGGTTCTAAGTGGGAAGTCAATAGTATAATTTGAAGAGAATTTGCTCGTAAATAATTTGCCTTTATTGACAGAGAATGATAGCACTCCAAATTGATTGAGGAGAGGCGAGATGACTTAAATTTTATTAATCACTCTTAAGGAACCGCCAGTAGCAACTAGAATCAAAATTGTGAGAGACTATAATATCAGCGAACAACGATTTGGACTCATTGAAGGAATGTTTACACGTTACGAGAAGAGACAAAATGGCGTCTGTTATAATCAAAGTTATTATGTTGTTATAGCCGGAAAAATGATTCTTGTGGCCTGTAGCGGTTGGACAAATAGACTGCATATTCACGAAATCACACAAAGCCTCGATAGTAGGCTGAATGGGTCAACTAAGAAGAAATTTCGAAATTTACCTTATATTTGCATCTCTGTACACGCATAAGAAAAGGTTCTTGTCGAAGTTCTTGCTGATAAGACAGATTTAAAAAAAAAACCTGTCATTCAGCGACATAAATTTAAAGCAGACGACACTGAAAAATACTAAAATTTGTGAAATCGGAATTCTGAAAGGCATATCGCGTGACTTTGTAAGAAAATAAACTAAACTCTTTCCTTTTATGTGCCGTGTCCCTTCAGGACGTAGGCGATCATGGCTCTCCACATCTCCCTATCGCTTGTAGCTCTCAATAAATTTTGTCCCTTTGCTACTCCCCCAGGCTATAGTCTGTCATCCACTTGTTTAAGCCCGCCAGGTATGCCATGCATTGCTTTCCCTTGTCTCTCTTTCTCTCTATTCGACCTGTGTGTATCAGATTTTTCAAGCCTTCCTTTCTTATTACGTCTCCCAGAAATTTCAACTGCCTCTTCCTGATGTTAAGTACAAGCTTCCTCCTTGTTTGTATACTCATCGTTGCTCACATGCTCGGTCCATGATATCCTTAGCAACCTTCTGTAGAACCATAGCTCCGTTGGCTCGAGGCTCTTCTCCATCTTTTAGAAGGTTTTCCAAAATTCGTTGTTGTAAAGGAGGACAGATGTCACGTAGCAGCTCAGTACACTTTTCTTTGTTACCAAAGAAATCCTCCTGTCTCGTAATACTCTGTCTAGCTTTTGGAATGCGTCTTGTTCCATCCAAATACGTCTTCGGATCTCAGCGTCGCACTTACCGACCTAATTTCTAGCTGTT